CTCTAAAACAGCAATTATGCTGAGTCAGGCTTGATTTTTAATAATCTTTTCCTGTTAAATAAATAAATAAAATAAAATCACGTCGTCCTTTAACGAACTGAAAAATACACATTCCTTTAAAATTTAAAGACAATGAAAGCAAGTGATCTATTCTGATTTTCAAACAGTAACTTGCAAGTTAATCTTTTAGCTGAGAGGCTTAACTGATCAAAGTCCAAGCATCTGTTAGATCCATCAATATTTCTTCAGTACTGCTCAGGTGCTCAAAGCATCGTTTGACACATCTACTGTGGACTTCAAATGTTGTCATCCAATCCGGTCTATGATTATGAACTGTGTGCACCACTCACCCCTTTCTGTAGTCTCTTCATCAGGAAGTCTGAGCCTCCAGGCTTTTGGCCCAGGCCAGGGTACTTAGCTTTCAGCTTGGCCTCCTCTGCCTTCACCGGGTTCGCATTCTTCTCCTGCGAGTCCTGTGGAGAGACAAAATAAATTTGATTCAAGCAGCCCAGTTTTAAAAGAACCGCAGATCGTTCAGAGTGTCGGCCAGTATTTCCGCAGAAAAGGTTCAGCATTACTGGAATAACAGGTAATGTCAATAGCGACTTGTTTACAATCATCCCACAATTCTAGTATTTCCACAAAATGCCACAATTCATGGAGGAAAACAAATAAAAATCCTGTGGTGCACAAGCACAACTGATTTAAAACATTCTTTTAATTTACAGCTGAAATTAACGTTTATGACCACTGGATGCCAAAGACCCTACATGACACAAATCACAGCACGAATGCTCTCATTCTGCATTTGCTTGTGTCACCAACGACTTGGAGAGAGAACAGATAAAGAAAAGGCCAAAAATTAAAGAATGTTATTTGCTTCTACAGATTAATAATCTGAAAGAACACCCATCCATCCAATGGCCTGTCAAGTTTGTTATTAAGGCCATAAATCTGGGTCACGTCCTGATGGCTATCTTTTCAATAAAGAGTTCTGACTGCACGTCAGACACAAGAAGATAGAAGTTATTAAGCGTGAACACAAGACTACATAAGGCAAACACTATTTATGCATGACTCGCCTGGAGCAAGCAGCAAAAGGTGTGGACCTACTTCAGCTATGCACCCGGCGTGCAAAGCTTGCTGGGACAGGGATAAAATGTGACTCAGGACACAGAAGCCGATGAACAGATTCCCTTAGGAGGAGGGGGACGGATAGCTCAGTGCGCTGGTTCACTTGGCGAGAAATTTATGAGCTACTATATTTGGTCCCGATGCAAGGAAATGGCAATATCCACCAACACATCCGTTGTGTACCCACTAGTGTTACAGCTTTAAACTGTTAAGTGAAAGTCAAATTTCCCTCAGGTAGCATTCAGGTTTGTTTTGACAGTTCAGCAATAGGTGATGTGATGGGTGAATGTTATTTGCTTTTCCAGCACATCAGTGAAGTTGTCTCAGTGTACTAATCAATAACACGACACTTGTGTATAGGGCTGCCACGATTAATCGATTAATCGACGACTAATCGATTATTAAAATAATCAATGACTAATTTAATAATCGATTAATCGTTTTCTTT